TTCAGCAAAAAAATAAATATAGAAATACAAGTTACGATTCTATAACGAAATGCTCCAGCTAAAAATGAGGTTAAATACCTAGGAATAATCTTTGATAGGAAATTAACTTGGAACCTTCACCTGCAACGTTCTATAGCAAAAAGTAAAATATCGCTAATGTCCTCAAGAAGAACCTTAGGAAAATCTTAGCGATTAAAACCGAAAATGGCCCATTGGCTCTACTCGGCAGTAATAAGACCCGGAATAACCTATCGATCAATAATCTGGTGGAACAAAGCTCATCAAAAAGTAGCTACCCAAACATTAGGCAGCATACAAAGACTAACAAGCCTATGTATCACAGGGGCAATTAGAACAACCCCCTACAAATGCATAAGAAACTGCTAAACCTACCTCCACTGGAAATATTTATACAAGGAAAGGCTAGGAAAAGCTCACTTAGGCTCCAAAAACAATCAAATTGGATAGGAACTAAACAATTCGGGCATACGACCATAATCAACAAAATCAGACACCCATTCTTAGAAATGGGGACTGACTATATCAACCCGAAAACATCTTTACGACATCCTATAAAGTCTCAACGATAAAGGAGGGGAAGAACACAGGAGAGCAAGAGATACTATGATATGGTATATAGATGGGTCCAAAACAAACGGAGGAACCGGATCAGGCGTTTTCTGTACAAGCCCAAAACATGAGCAATCAAACGCATTAGGGAAGCACACTTCGGTATTTCAAACAGAAATACATGCCTCAATGCCCTGGAAAATCTTAAAAGAGGTCACACTGACAAAAAAGCCTCATAAGATCTGATAGTCAAGTAGCCATTAAAGCATTAGCATGTAAAAGAATCACATGAAAATTAGTCAGTGAATGTATGCAAAATCTCCAAAACCTGGGGAAACAAAACAACCTGATGATATCTTGGGTGCGAGGGCACAGGGGAATTTTGGGTAACGACAAAGCAGACGGTCTGGCCAGAGGAGGATCTGCAAGACCATAGGCCCCAAACCTAAACTTGGGATAACAAAAACAAATATAGAATCATCCACCGCAGAATGGATCCGAACAAAACAAAAGAAGTGGATAAACTCTAGCGGTGCTAGACAGAGTAAACTTATGATGAAACAACCCTCACCAAGACTGGCAAAATTGTTGCACCTGGAGAGGGCTAAACTCAGAGAAGTGATAGGACTACTAACCGGAAACTGGGTGGGCATATACAACGGTGATCCCATCTGCAGATTATGTAATAAGAAAGAGGAAACAGCCACCCATATCATCTTCTAATGCGAAGCAACAGCTCAAATGGAGATTTAACCTAATATAAGGAAAAAACTTAGGGAATCAAATTGCAGCAGCGACAGTCTGACCTGATGACTTCTTAGGAGAAAGATAGAGTCTATTGCACTGAACTAAGGAACTAGGAAGGTACAATAAGCCAGAAGGCTGCAATGCCTGGGGAGCACAAAGCCCGCTTCCTAGTAACCTTTTTTTACCATATCATACCATACCAAGGCGAAACTTTTCTTTAATTTTTTTCTATTATCTCAAACATTCATATTCAGGCATTTTTTGAGCTGCAAAGAAAATAATATCAATTTTGATTCTCACTAAAAAAAATATTTTAACCTACTTTCCTTACGAATATAATTTTTCATCAATCAGCGACAAAGGTCGCCAAAACAATCATAATTTTTTAAAAATTGTATTTTAATTTTTTAATTTTTTTTTTCTTCAAACGCCCGTTGGCAAGAAAGCTCAGACACGTGTCTAATATTTTTCGACCTTGTACCACCAAAAAAAAGTTACTTTGAAATCGGTGATACTACCCACGTCTTTTGCCTCCTCTTGTCTGATTTCGACTGGTATCACTTTAAAGCTCACTTAAGTTCTGTTTGAACTATTTCTTCCTTATTTTCATTCCTTAGCACTTGTTTGAGCTCGTCCATTTTTTTAAATATTTTAAATGTACTAAATTTTCAAGAACAAATGTTTCCTTTTTAATTATTCCTTTCCTTCTCCTTTTCCCATTTCAATTTATTTTTTAACATTTTTTTTGGAATACGTAAAATCATTTTTCTAGTAAACGAATTTAAATTTGAAATTTAATTTTAGGCCGTAAGATCATTCTGCTCTCAGGCTTTGACCATTTGATTTTTTTTCGGCTTCACCCTTTTTCATTTTTTTTTTTTTTTTGCGTTCCTCTTCGGAAAAAGGGGAAAACATTGTCAATACTCATGGAAAACTTCGTCCAGAGTTATTTCCGCCTGTCCTAGAATCAGCCATTTCGGTGAGAATCATTGGCAAAAAATCTCACAATTCGACCAACTGAAACTGCGTTTGATCTTCGCTTAAAGGACATCTGGAATTTCACCTCAGGGCCTTCGAAACTCCTTCGTCCATCGATCTATCATCGTGAACCCATCATTCATCGACATCGCACATCAAGATCTGTATTTATTCAATCTATTATTTCGTGGTCCGATTGACCAAATAACTTCTTTCAATTAATTAAACTTTATGTAAGTTATTGGTTGAAATGAAAAAGACAGTGTCACGAGCGGGATTCGAACCCACGACCTTCGACTCAATACGCCGCTGCTCTAACCACTTGAGCTATCGTGACTTCGATCCACTCGGACACCAACACCCCATCTCAATCTGTATTTATTTCTTTTTGGTATATTTTTGTATGCAAGCTTGCTTAATCATTTTTTCAACCCAAATCTGCACAGCGGATAATTTAAGGAACAATTATTAATTTTATATTATACACTCCCTTGTTTTAGATTAGTTTGGTTTAGTTTCGTTCCAAAATTTTAATAGTTAATACTTATTATTTGTTAATTAACTACTTTAATAGTTTAGTTTACTTTAATCATTTTTTCTTAATTTCTGTTCACATTCAGATAAAATTGACTAAATTCAAACTTAAAATTATTTATTTACGGTATTTTTTCGTAGATAACTTTTGTTAATCAATCTAGTATAATATTTTGATTTGCAATTTATAATTTAATTTATTTTAATTTACTTATTGTTTGTTTGATCCAATTTATTTTTTTACTTTAAATTTAATTTTTTTTCTCGAAGATATGGCATGTTGATTTTATTGTTATTTCATTTACTTTATATCTCACGTCGAATGATAATATTACATTGCTTCAGATAATTTACAAAATGATTAATAATTTGTCATTTTCAATATTGTCTTCTTTAACACCCATTCATTAATTTTTATTTTTAATTCGTTATATGTTTTCTCCGCTGCCTCCTAGATTTACCTTTATCCTCTCAATCTATATCCGATTTCAGTAAACCCTCATCCATCATTTATTCCATTAATAATTTATTTCAGCCGTGTTAATTTCATTTAATAAATTCTTGGTGTTGATGTTCATTTTTGGGTAAAGAAGGATTTGTCCTCAGTTTTTTAAAAAAGACCCCCTCTCCCAAAATAAAATAAAATCCTTGTTTTATGTGCTTTATATTCATATCAATTGGTCAACTCATTGTTATATGAAAGGAAAAATATATTGTTTACTGACCTATAAATTATTGATTTATTTTGGGGGGGAGGAATTTTTCTAGAAAGCATGACGAAGAAATTTAGCTTTTCTTAATATTGAAGGTTGATTATTTGTATTATTTCCCTACTTCCTTTCTCACTCCTTCCAAATCAAACATATATAAAAAAAAACAATAACATTTCACTAACACACACGACACATAACTGTGACACATCTACACAGAAAACACTTTGAGTGAGTACAAATACTTTGATTAAACCTTCATTACTATGTGCATCACCTTTGTATAATTTAAAAAAATCTTTATAAATTCCAGTCCCTGAAGATGAACTCAATAAAGATCGAAACGTTGGCGCGATAAAGAAAATGTTTTTCTAAACCTACAACACACAGACCGCATCCCACATCTCTACTATAGTCGTTGATTATTATTATATCGGCGATAATTTCTTATTATGTGATTATGTCTAGTATTTTTAGTGCTTGTAATTGACATAGTAGTAAATCACAATTTAGGTATTTATACAGTGAAGAACCGGCACTGCCAGGTTAGTAAGGACAGGGTGTTTTCTGTAGGACAGCTGGAAAGCTTGATCTTCAGTCATTAAACGGCATACAAGATGATAAAGTCATAAAACGATTATGATTGTTATTATAGGAAGGGCGCCATCTGTAAGTAGGATTATCGACCTGGGATTATGAAGGTCATGAGACGAATGTCTCCGGGTCGGCCATATGGCCGTTGCCCCGTTCTCGAGGAGACGGTCCTCCTCGGACAAATCCGATCAAAGAAGCCCGTTAAAGAATTACCGAGGAAAAGAGAGAGTGATCCAGATCCCGATCAAAGGTCACGTCCTTCCGGCCCCATCCCATTAACCCCATGGACCCGGTAAGACTCGGTAATCTTGGCATCTTTGACCCGGGGAGATTAGCAGTATTGAACCACACCGGTAATTAAATAAATGACCCATGCTACCTGCCTTGAAGGCTTTTTTTCTCCCAGGGGTTTTTTTTATTATTAAGTTTTCGTTGGTTAAATAGCTTATTTTTTCCCGATCCGGAGTGTTGTCTCCAAGAGGAGCTGCCTAAAAACTGGTTTGATCCCCCCTTCTGCGCCTCTCTCGGAAGGGAACTTGAACCTCTTCGGCTCCTCGGGCACAAAATCGCCTCCTCCTATTAGTTACTAGTATTTTAACAATACACGCGGGCCGCGCTACCGGAATTAGGCCGTCCGGCATCGCAACGACTCAACATCATCACGATCTTCCGTTTATCTCGATACCGGGCGAGATGGCCGAAGAGATCTCAACCGGCTTCGATAAAACCACAAAAACCACAACTTTCAAACCAAAAACCACAAAAAATACATTTTCAAAAATATCAAAATCCATCATTGCTTATAAATAAAGAGAAAAAAAATATAGACAAAAAAGTAAATTGTAGGAGAAAAAGTCACCAGCTTACCTTATAATTATTGGTATTCCGATAGAAGCAGAATTTAGAGATATTAAAACAAACACTGATCACTGCACGGTCACTAAGAGGGTTCGAGAGTCTTGCGGGGGCTCTGGTTTTGAACTGGAGCCTCCAGGAATACAGGTATGCCCGGCGTTGCCAGCTCTACTTCACCTGAGTGCCCACCCCACCAACATTTAATCTCCTACCACTATTTCTTTACCCTTTCTTCTTCGCCGTCTCTTTCTCTCTCGCACTCCTCTTTCTGTTCTATCTGGAAGAAGATTGTCACTGGCTCTTCCCTGCTTCGCACCACATCAGCGCGATTGTTGAGTTTGTAGACTTTTTTTTCGGTTCACCCTCAGCCTGGATTTACCGTTGCGGTGAACTCTATTGATTATCGTCGGGATAAGCAGGCCAGCGGGGGGGCAGGGACTTCCTACTTTGCCTTTCGGCTTCTTAAGAGTTATCTCTGTGATTGCCAACTTGTCGGCCGAGACCTTTTTTCATATCTTGATTAGTTTTTTTACATTAAATATAAATGACTTTTTTAACTGTTACGGCCTATTGTTAAATCTATTCTTTCACTTTATTCTCTCCATGTTTTAATTACAGTCAAATTATCTCAACATCATCATTTAACCTTCATCTTATAAATAAATTAATAAACATTATAATAAAAAAGTTCAAAGTAAATTAAAAATTGTTAAACTTAATAAATTCAAAGTTTTTTTAACTTTTTTCAATTAATTAATCTTTATATCAGGTATTGGTAGAGGTAAAAAAGTCAGTGTCAAGAGCGGGGTTCGAACCCACGACCCTCGGCTAAATACGCTGCTTCTCTACCACTAGAGGCTTCCCATCTCAACCCCATCTTTTGAATTTTCCCTCCTTTTTGCCATTTTTTTTTTTTTAACTACAAAATTCAGTTTAAGAATTTATTTCAATTTTAATTTTGAACTTTTCTTATTTTTGGCCCGTCTTTATGAATGCCATTATTATTTTCAACTTTACCTTATAAAAATATTTAAATTATTCTACCATTTTCGGGGCATAAAAGTGATTTTAAAAAATACAATGTTGATTGTTTTTCTTGTCGGACTTTTTCGTTAAAACATGCTTAAAATTATTTCTATATTGTAATAAATCATCGACAATCATCACTAAATATGATGAAGACTTTTCAGTTTGTAAGTGCAAACAGCGAAGCACGTGTTATTTTTCCATTATCAGCAAGATATTTTAATCTATGCAAATAAATATGCAATAGAAAAGAAACAACGAAGAAATTATTATGGTAAAAGGTATTAATATAAGCACCTTGAAATTACTAAATCGTTTCCAAAAGAAATAAATCTTTAAAAAAAACCTTCCGTGCTTTCAGTCCGGAGTGAAAAAGATCAAAACCAAGTTCAACAAACCCTACATTTTTATTTTGTTGTTGAGAACTGGAGTACTGACTGGTCGAGCTGAAAGGCATGGAAGGTTGGCTATGGCCTAGGGGCAATAGGTTGAACATGCCACTCGCCTCGGCGCGGCGGGCCAACCTAGACAATTCCGATCGAAGAATTTATCCCCCAAAAGAAAAGAAAACCAATATAAAAAATCGTTTAAAAGACTAAAACACGTCGGTAATTACTTAAAGATGGTTAAATGTAACTATGGTTATCCTAAAATTAAGCTGAGGTTCTACAAAAACACTATGTAATAACTTTCCATTGTACTTCGAAATTCGTTCCCAATTCTTTGTGCATTGTGAGTAAGTGAGATGTACATAGAAGATAGAAAAGTATAGAGAGCGAAAGAGATAGATAGGGTGATAAAGAGATAGAGAGAAGAGAGAGAGAAAGTGTGGGAGAGAGAGCAAATACCCATGTCTTATATAAGGAAAATTTAAAAGATTTTAAGGAGTTTTTTATATTTTCATTTTAAGAAAGAGAGTAAAATTGTATAAATCATTCATTTTAATGGTGCCATTTTGTACAGGAAAATCACTGATGATGGTACAGAGGGTAGTGGTGGACGGCGTGTCCGACCCTCTTGACTTCGGCGTTGAAACCGTTGTGTTTGTCAGCGGTGTAATGGACTTCCCTGATAGTACCGTCGGGTTCTTTCAGCATGTAGAATCCCTTGACTTTGTCCCCTTCCCTGGTCTCGTGTTGGCTCTTGTAGTCGCCTGTGTGCTTGTCTTCAACTTTGTACTCGTAGCTGTAATGAGGAGGAGCCTGGAACAAATACAAAAATCACTGTAAACTCAAAGAATGTTCGAGTGATGTCCTCGGCGTACATAGTAGTCGACGTGTTCGTGGCCTCCTTCTCCACCGTAGACAGCAGAAGCGACAGCCATGCAGGCAGCAAGAACAACGAATAATTTCATTTTTTCTTCAAGTTTGAATTGTCAGAACCAAATCAAGACTGATTTTCACATAAGTTGGTCAGGCTTATATAGTCATTTCTCTTCCCCTCCGAAATAATTTTATTATATCATTACCAAATAGTTTACGCCTTTTTGATTCAGTTACCTCACATTCCTTCCGACCTTGTCTTAATTATCAAAGCATTAACATGTTTGTAACTGTTTGCACACCGAATTATATTCGAAAAACTTTTCAAAACGAGCCAAGATTCTTTTGATAGACCTTGTTTTTTGCGATATAGCTGATTACGCATTATTGTGAAATTTTAAGCATAAGCTTCAACCAATAATCTGCTTGATTGCTGCACTCAAATAATTCAGCACCATGGATCTCTCTTGAATGGATGAAAGAGTTAAATAGATAGTGATTGATTAATTGATCGATTAAAAGAGAAATAGTAAGACAGAATGAAGCAATGAGTATAATTTTATTTAAAAATCTAGCAAAATATAGATAGATAGCGAGAGAGAGAGAGACAGAGAGAGAATGAGAATGGAGAAATAAATATCGTTTTATTTAATAATTTCGCAAAAGATAGATAGATAGATAGATAGATAGAGAGAGAGAGAGAGAGAGAGAGAGAGAGAGAGAGAGAGAGTGATGGGGAGAAAATTATGAAGAGAAAGAGAGAGAACAAGAAAAAGAGAGAGAGAAAAAGGAGTCCAGACAATTAGAGGGTGGTCATAAAAGAAAGATAGACAGATAGAGGTAGATAGAGAAAGAAAGTAAGTAAGTGGAGAGAGAGTGACTGGGATCGAAAAAAATGGAAACTAAAATAGACTGAAAATAGACTGTTAAGGGGACATATAAAGATTTTAAAAAACTGAAGAGAAAGAAAGTGATATTTGGCAAATTTGGAAAAAGATGAGTGGTTTAAGAAGATAGATAGAGAAAGGGAGAGAGAAAGATAATGAATTAATCAATATCTATTTTCGCAAAAGAGAAAGAGTGGGAGGGGGAGAGTGGAGAGATAGAGAGTAATACCGACAAAAAGAAAATGAGCAAGACAAGCCTAAACTAAAAGCGATTTCATCAATATTTTTTCGACATGTATCAACATTTCTATCTGCTCACATTTAGTACTCAGGGCCAGTTGAACCATGTCCAATTTGTCCATTACTCCATAACCAATTTGTCTTAACAAAAGTTTGGCAAAACGTTTAACTCGAGTTATTGGAAAGTCTTTGCTGATACAAAATGAAACTTGGTTCACTTTAAACTGGGTTTATATAATACGCTACTCGTTGCTATCCCGTCGACGCTCTAGTTGTTATTTTGTCTTAGTTTCGTGCAAACAAGCGATATGGAAAATGAACAAATGGGTCCCACACGAGTTCGACGACGATGCCCAAGTCACGAACATTCTACGTAACTTGTTTAACAAACTTTTCGTCATTATTGAACAAATAAAGCTATGATACATATCCAAAAGCAGATTTTGATAGAAAAGTTCCCTCGTGGACTTGCTGAAGATAATAGTACTGCCCTCTTTTGAATAATGAGAAGCCTGTCTGTCTTATTGGCCGGTCGTCATAAATCAACACCTAACCCCAGGCGTAAGGAGATGTCTGAGCTATCTCAAAACTCGTGTAGTACAAAGGTGATCGACATGGCGGTTCAACTAAAAGTAAAAAGTGTATTAAAGGTAATTAAAAATTGAGATGAAAATATGTGTCACGGGTGGACTCGAACCAACGCTCTCTTAGCCTCTACACCTTCATTCTATCATTGAGCGTGAGTTAAGTCCTCGAAGGCACATCTCCACATCTCAACCTAAAACTATTAAATTTACAACCCTTCTTTAAATTTATTTTGCTATTATAATGTATCATATAAGCCTAGATCAAGGAAAAACTCCTACTTTTAATAATAATAGTATAGCGAGCGGGATTCGAACCCATGACGTCCGGATGGGTTCAATTCCCGCTCGTGACATTAATTTTTCATCTCAACCTTCTCTAATATTAAAAACTGGTTTAGATAACTAATTAATAAAAATAATTTTTAATATACCCCAAACTTTAGATGTGAAGTTTTGGGCTGGGATAGAGGGGTTTCACCGAGCTCAGTTTTGGGCCCCATGCTATTTTTTGTTGGCGCAAAAATAACTCTATCATTTATCATCATCTTCAACATGTTTAAAGCTTCTGTGTAAATCTTTCTAATGATTTTTATTTGTGAATTTAGTCGTAATTCCATTCGAAGAGTTCCTGAGGTCAGGCAGAAGATGAAACTTACTAGTTACTTCAAGGGTTTTCGATGCCTAAATCTAAATCGCCATGACAAACTTAAACACAAGTTTTAAATATAAAAATTGTGTTATAATAAAAACTATAAATACCTATAGAACATAGTCAAAGAATTGCTGAGGACGTTGCTGACATCCAAACTTCCAGTTTTAGCTTCTGCTCCTTCGATAAACCTGATTGTGCAGATAAAAGACACGGTTTTGAGAAAAAAAAGAGGAAAAACGATCAGCGTCCAAAGCCAGAGGAGCTATGAAATGGAATGGTTGACCAAATGTTCTACGAGGAAAGGAAACAGTTTCTGGTCATGGGTAGAAGAATAATGGCAAGAAAGGTCGGAAAATAGCGTTAAAGGCTAACCATCGGTTCCAAGCACCATGGACCAGCCAAACTATGAAATTCCACGGCAACTTTTCCAGTTACGTCCATACGTTTAAAATAAGTGTGGAGTCTAAGAGGATGTCGAGCAC